AGTGTTATTTAAATAATGGCGCCAAGCGGGAGGTTTGACAGTTACTACTACCTCGGCCTCCCCGCCCCCACACCGGCCAGGCCAGGAGCGTCCGGAAGAGAGGCCGCAGCTGGGGGTGTTGGCCTGAGCTTCGCCCTTCTGCTATTCGGCTGACCAAGCTTGAGCCCCTGTTGACAGAAGCCGCAACGACCCCATCCGCTAGACGCGTTCCGCACCTGCACCGTACACGACTGCATGTGAGCCACAATTAGCCAGTTTTGATGCTTCTGTTTTTATTGACGCAGATGCTTATGATGAAACAGTGAGATCGTCAAAGAAATCATTATCATTCCCATGGTATCTTTTCCGAAATAAAAGCTCAGAGGAGAAAAGGGACTCGCTCAGACAGCATTTAACAGGGATGGCCAAAGACAATTCTGCTGACGTCCATTCGTCACCTCGCCTTGTGAGTTCAGAAATCAAGATCACTATCCTGTGATATATAAACTAATAAAGATATAATTATTAATGGTGATGAATAGCATTAGGATCAAAAGGCTTACTAATAGAGAAAAATGGTTTAGGGGAAGATGTGCTTAACTCCAAAAGGGTTTCCTACAACTACATTGATATTTAGACTTGAAGAAAGATTATTTCATGCCTACTCCTCTCTACTAAACGACTCCTCTACATCTTGCAAAACCCCAGCCTTTTATACTGATCAACTTTTCACTATCAAAATTCTCTTAACATTATGTTACTCTGAAGTGTCTCAGAAGTCAAGAAGGCCAGGTCCTGACCAGTGCCCTAGATTATTTTCACTCCCATTCCTAAGGTTTTTACTTCAGTGTCTTTATAGTTGACTATCCCCTCCTCCACTGAGTCATTCTTATCAGCATATAAACTTATCAAATTCCTTCTTACTTAAATTTAAACTTCCTTTAGATCCAAAATTTCCTCAGTAGCTACTGTATTTCTCTGCTTTCTTCACTGAATAAATTCGCAAACATGACTTCATTTTTTTACAGTATTTGTTCCCACTTCCTCAGTGGCACTGACCTGTTAACCTTCCCTGATACAGCTACACTGCTGTCTTCTTGATCACTTATCAAGATTACTGTTCATCTATACCTTTGCAAAGCATACTCTCAGCTCTTAGGTCTTATCTTAATCGGCTAGAGGGAACTGCTACCAGTTGATGTGCTTGCTTTCTCTTGAAACATATTCTTCCTGAACTTTCCTCCATATCACTGTCCTGTCCTGTCCTGTCCTGTCCTGTCCTGACGTTCCATTCCTGTCCCCTTCCTTGGGCAGTTTCTCTGTCTCTGACTCTCTGTGTCTCTCTGTCTCTCCCTCTGTCTCTCTGCCTCTCTCTCTTCCTCTCCCTCCTCTCCTCTCTTTCTCCTCTCTCCTCTCTCCCACCCCCTTCCACCCTCTTTCTCTCCGGGTCTCACTGTGTAGCCATGGAATTTGCTATAAACAGCAAACTGGCCTTAAACTCCCAGAGAGCCACCTGCCTCTGCCTCTGCCTCTCCGAGGAACTAAAGGCATGTACTACTATGCCCAATTTTGGCTTAAGCTTTAAATAGTGGAGAATCTAGGACTCAGTCCATGATCTTTATTCAACCACCCAGAGCTATTATTCAACTCTGACTTTTGGTCTATATAACATAATGATTTTCAAATATCTGCAGGTTAGATTTCATCACCAAATCCTAATCCAGGCAGGCCTAGGGATTGGCTCCATTTGTAGATTGCTTGCCTAACTACCTAATATACAAGAAACCAAGTGTTTGATCTCCAACACTGAATAAAACTGGGTGTGGTGTTACATGACTGAAATTCCAGTAGTTGGAAGGTAAAAGATCAGGGGTTCCAATTCCAAGCAAGCCTGGGCTACATGAAATACTATCCCAAAAGAAATTATTTATTTATTTACTTATTTATTATTATTGAGAAACGGAGTGGGGTGGTGCAGACCTTTAATCCCAACATTCCAGGCAGAAGTAGGCAGATCACTTGTGAGATTGAGACCAGCCTGGTCTACATAGGAAGTATGTTCCAGGCCAGCTAGGACTACAAGTAAGACCCTATATTAAAATTAATTAATTAATTAATTCAAAAGAGGTTGATTTATGAAGGTTCCTAGCTACCTAGCATCTAGTCCAAATCTCTCATCATCTCACATCCATCCTGTTAAGGAGAACCATGATCACCAGTCTTGCTCTTTTCCCAAGAGTCTCACTGTCATCCAGTATTCATTCAGCTTCCAAATTGAAAGTCAGGAAAGCGTCCTTACCCTTCTCCTTTAATTTGTTTCCAATGTCCAGAGCTTCTGTGAGCCCAGTTGACTCCTGCTTTTAAAAATAAGGCAGCCTGTTTTGTTGAGTCTTCACAACCACCACCCTCTGCCAGACTGATGCAGTTTTGCCATTCCTGGAAGGATGGACTGACTGACAGGGCTTCAGCTGGCCTTCCTGACCCTCAGGGCCTTTGCCTTTTGGGGTCCTGTGTTTGGAGCTGGCCGTGATAGTGAGGGCCTGTCTGTAATCCCAGAACTTGGAACACACTCACTAACCTTTCCATTAACAGTTCAATACAAAGACATGTTCCCAACACTTTGAGGGGGCTGAGGCAGGAGGATTTCTATGGTGATAAATTATTTATGATTTACTAAAGTTTGCCTGAGGATTCAGAAATCGAAGTCAGCCTCAAGCTATAGAGATCAGTCAGTGGTGATACACACCTTTAATCCCAGCAGCCAGAAGCTAGGAGGCAGTGGTACAGACTATTAATCCTAGGACTCAGGATTAAGAGGTAAATGGATCTCTGTGAGTCCAAGGCCATCCAGATCTACACAAGATTGATCCAGTTCTAAAGGGGAACAATTCACACAAAAGATGATCTCAGCACCTGGGATCACACACCTTTAATCCCAGCACTAGAGGGGTATAAAAAATAGGAGCAGGGTCTTCAGTAGTCAGTATCAGGCATTCATTCTCCAGTCACATTGAGGATAGGAAAACACTGAAGTCTAAAGATTCTCCAGCCACACTGATGAGAGGCAGCAGTGTAAGGTTTGGTGGAGCCAGGATCCACCTTCAGTCTGAGGTAGTATAAGAGCTAGTAGCCAGCTGCTTTGCTTTTCTGATCTTCAGCTTGAAGCTTGAACCCCAATATCAGTCTCTGGGTCGTTTATCATGCAACAGATTTCCAAGCATTCATGTCCAGCCTGAGCTACATAGTGAGTTCTAGACTGGTTCGAGCTATTTAGCCAGAACATGTATGCAAATAAATAAATATCCAGGTGTGGTGGCCCAAAGCTAAAATCCCAGCACTTGGAAGGTGATGCAAGAGAATCAGGACTTCAAAGACAGCCTGGGCCACACAGTAAGTTTGTGACCAGCTTACTCTACAAGAGGCTTTGCCTCAAAAAAATAAATATTTAAAATAAACTTTGCCCTTTGTCCCTACTCCCAGGTACAAAGTTCCCAATATCCCCAGTAATTTCCTAATAGCTATGCCTTTTTGTTATTACTAGTAAGTCCTTCCCTATTACACATGAATATGTTAATCAGGTATTTCAGGCTGAGCACCCTTCAATAGCTACAAAATAGCTAAACAGGATTTGTTATAGAAATACTAAATTGATCTGCATTACTTGTTTAATATTTGAAAACCAATAATTTTAATTTAGAAGAGACTCGTGCATATCTGTGGTTCCAAAATTTGGGAGCCTGAAGTAGTATTGTTTGAGCCTAAGAGTTCATGACCAACCTGGGTTAACAGTGATAATACTTACCTCAAGGAAAGAGAAAGGGAGAGAGCAGAAGAGAGCCAGAGAACACACTTGAGCCATGCTTGTCATCTGTGGCTATATAGTATGGAACCAGCCAAGGCTGCATAAGATACATAAAATAAAATGAGGAGTAGGGTATTCTCATTTAATAGATACACACAAAAACTTAATAAGAATTGAATACCTATTCACTTACCAAAACAAGAATACAAGACAATTTGTTTATATGGTTACAAGTATCTCCCCCAAATCTACAAAATTATCACAGTTAATGGTAAAATACTGAAAGCATTCCTTCTGATAACAGTAATGACACAAAGATATAGACATTCCCAAATCCTAGCATTCAGAAGGGTAAGAGTCAGAGAATTAAGAGTTTGAGATCAGGTTGGCTTATATAGCAAGCCCTTCTCTCAACAAAACAAAGCAAAAAATATGCCATCGTAACTACATTTTCAAAACAAGTACAGCAACAGTAACAAAAATTCCAAGAGTGGTGGTACTCGCTTTTAATTTCAATAATTGGAGGTAGAGGCAGTTGAGTTTCTGTGACTTTTCTGTGAGCCAGGACAGCCATTGCTACATAGAAAGACCCTGTCTCTAACAACAAACACATAAAACAATTAACAAATAGGGACCGGAGAGGTGGTTTGTCAGTCAAGAACAGTTACTGTTCTAACAGAGGTCCTGAGTTTGATTCCCAGAACCCACATTATAGCACTAGCTCCTGGGGACCTGATGTCTCAGGCCTGCTTGGACACTACACTCACATTCGCATACCCACACACAGATGCATACTGTCTTGGGGTTTTCATTGCTATGAAGAAACACCATGACCACAACAACTCTTGTACAGAAAACATTTAATTGAGGTGGCTTGCATACAGTTTCAGAGGTTTGGTCCATTATCACCATAGCAGGGAGCATGGAGGCAAACAGACATATGCAATGCCGGAGTAGAGTCCTACATTTTGCAGGCACAGGCAACAGGAAATCAACCGAGACACTGTGTGGTACCCTGAGTGTAGGAAACATCAAAGCCTGCCCCCACAGTGTCACACTTCCTCTAACAAGGCCATACCCACTCCAATGAAGTCACACCTCCTAATAATGCCACTCACTATGAAATTATGGGAGCCAATTACATTTAAACCACCACACATACATACACATAATTTTAAAAATAAACATTTTTAAATAAAAATTGAAATAAATTTATCAATAAGCCTCCCACTCAGAAAATTATTATAACTTCCCTAAAATTTAAAGACCTAATAAATAGGATTACACTTTTTCCATAGATCCAAATATTCAATATTGAAAAGATGTCAGAAATCAGGCAAAGTAATATTACCTAATGATCCCAGTACAAAGATGGCTGAAGCAGAAAGATCTAATTCAAGGCCAGCCTGGATTACTCAAAGAGACACTATCTCAAAACAATAACAAAATTCATAAGTTAATATAGATTATATTCATCATCTTGATTGTGAAGATGTATTTATTTTTATTATATGTGACTGTGTGTTTTACCTACATATACCATGTACATGTCCCACGCCCCTGGTTGCCAGAAAAGGGCATTTGAGCCCCTGGACCTGGAGTTACAGATGGTTGTGAGCCACCATGTGGGTTCTGGGACCCAAACTCAGGTCCTCTGGAAGATC